AGAGGCTGCTCCGGCTGCTCGGTTGCTCTGGAAACTCCTCCGCAATTTATCTTGGAAATTGCTTTGGGCCATAATAACGTTTGCACGGTGGACAGTTTACAGCTTCAGTTGTCTTGTAGTTTCACTGGAGACTTAAAAACATCCTTGTGTGTTTGTTTTTGCATGATAATTGTGTTTTATTCAATCATTCCTCCTAATATAAATCACTTTTTATAGGAAAAACAGTCAATTCAGGTCTTTCAAGCTCTGGCGCGCAGTCATTTCAGGCTTTATGGGACAAACAAAAATCAATAAAATGCTTCCGGCATCTTCCACTTGGAGTGTTGTGAGAGGAAACTACACTTCTACACCTCTGTTGTTGCAATCTTTGGAAAATGTGGTCCCTGACGTCAAACAACCTCACGTCTGAGGTGAGAGAAAGCCACAAAGACTGAGAGAGGTTGTTTTCATTTAGTGGTGAGGATTATCTGAGGAAGCACCGCTTTACTCAATCAGTCTTGTCTGTTGCATCATTCTAACATACTGAGATTTTTAACTCTAGGTCTACTCTTTAGGGATTCATGAGTGAGCTGTCTGAAATTACAGACTTCAGAACAATTCAAAGTGTTTGCATGACAACACAGACAAAGTTTTTATACATAAAACAGTTACGCAGCTTCATAAGGAGTCTACGTCTCCTTCCTTTCCGGTCAGCTCATGGGTCCCTGGAATAACAAAAATTAAATGAATGCAAGTCAATGGGGCTAAAGTTTCAGGCTCTTCAAATGGTCCAGAACGCAGCGGCGCGTCTGGTCTTCAACCAGCCCAAAAGAGCACACGTCACCCCTCTGTTCATTGAGCTCCACTGGCTACCGCTAGCAGCACGCATCAAATTCAAATTGCTAACACTAGCATACAAAGTCCGAGACGGTACGGCTCCCATCTACCTGAATCCTCTTGCAAAGACTTACGTCTCGGCCCGGCCGCTCCGGTCATCACAGGATCGTCAGCTAGCAGTGCCTACACCACGCTCAGGACAATCCAGACTCTTCTCATGCATCGTTCCACAAATGTGGAATGACCTTCCAAGCACTACCAGAACAGGGGGCTTCCTTTTCAAGTTTCAAGAAACTCCTGAAGACCCTGCTCTTCAGAGAGCATCTTCTAAACTAGCACCCTCCCTGCGCCCGTCCCCCCTCTCTACTGTCCACTCCTTGTCCTTCTTCTCCATGATTGATGTAAAGTTGTTGTTATTGTTGTTGTTAGCCTCAAGGGCAACATGCCGATTATCACTTGTAAGTCACTTTGGACAAAAGCATCTGCTAAATACATAAACATAAATATAAACATAAAGTACACGGGAGTAACTTCGGCTCCCTATAACCTTGTTATGTTTTGACTTCATGTCCTACACTGACGTGGACCCTTCCACAATTAGAAAATGGCTAAAGTAATTTTAAAATGGTCAGTTTCAAGTCATTCCAGTGGCCGCTGGAGGTTGTTCTTTCTTTGACAGAGAGGTAACAACAATTTAATCCAAATCTGCATAAAACCAGTCATCTTAAAGTAACAACAGATTGTTTTTAAACATTAAGATAGAGCTTTAACATTGATCTCAGTAATTGTTGGGTTAGAACAGGGGTGTCAAAGATGCGGCCCGCGGGCCGGATGCGGCCCGCAAGCGGGTTAAATCCGGCCCGCGAGGTGGTTGTGTAAACTTTATTTTCATACTTTACAATGTAGAGAGAAAATACACTTATCTTTGTGACCAAGTTGTCTCTGTAATCATTATAACTAAAACAAAGCTGCGCTCAAGGCTCACACAAGAACTTGAATCACATCCTGAAGTTGGCTGCCACTCAGGATGTGACTTCTGATATTGATGTGCTGGTGAAAGCTAAAAGATGTACAGTAAAATGAGTCAAATATACTTTAAGTGCTGCATGAAACTGATCTTGCCATGTGATCTGTAAGCTCTTTGAATCACTAAGGAATTTTTATTTATTAATTGATTTTTTATTTTTTTCAAATTTTCAGGAACACTTCAGGTGTTGTACTTGTACTACACTGTCGTCAGGCTCCAGCCTTGTTTCATATTGATTGTATTAAAACAAAGAAAACAATCTGAAGTTTTTTTTTAATTTACCGGTCCGGCCCACTTGGGACTAGATTTCCCTCAATGTGGCCCCTGAGCTAAAATGAGTTTGACAACCCTGGGTTAGAAACTTGACTAGTTTGACATTAAACACCCCTCTGCAGCCCTCTGCTGACCAAAAATGGTGCTAGATTTTTTGTGGAGGAGGACATTGTTCTGGGGCGTTCTTTACCTGCTTTACGGATTTTAGCTGTAATGCTAGTGGTTAGCCTTTTCAGTTTGACAATCATCAATAAAAAGCACAAGAGGAGACATGATTCGTGTGGTGAACATAGTGCGAGAAGAAATTGTAGCTATTGGGCTTATAAGAGTCTATGTGTGCATGAAGCGGTACAAGTGATAATGGTGTTGGAATTCATAATTGTATCCTTCTCAGCAGCAGCACTGCAGCTGCTCTCCATGTCCAAAATGTGCGTAAGCCAGGTCCTTAGTCAACTTAAAGTTGTGCACATTTTTCCGCTAAGTTTTCTTTCATAAATCCCAAAGTTTGCATGGAAAGTTGCTTACGCAGTTTTCTGACCCTGTTTTGTGCGTAAGCAAGCTTGATAAATGAGGCCCCGGGTCACTGCAGTCTGAGCATAGAAAGTGTTTCTAGGAACTAAATAGCTTGTTGGCAGCAGCTCACCTGTTCCACTGACAGGAGAAATGCTCTCATACGCAGCAGGTGGTGATCTGCAGTGTGTCATGGCTGAACACTGGCCCAGAAAAAAACAAAAAGACAACTAAAATCACTGACCACAGACCGGCCCACCAGAAATTTCCCCAGTTGGGTTCTGGTTCTGCCCGCCATCTCCATTAGACAGGAGCTGCGTTAACTCTCATTGTGACTCCAGAGCCTGGCTCCACTGGCGCTCATTAGTGCAACCAGATTCTACAACGTTTTCATAAATAAACACACAACTGAAGCCTGATTTATACTTCTCCATCTGCATTAGTGCAAGTCAGTGCAAGGGCTCTCCAACGGGCTTACAGAGGGTGATGGAGACATGCCCAACATTTTAAACATCTGTCGAAAGTGACACAGACTGCAAGCTTGAGATTGGTCAGGACGCTGCTTCTTGTAAATTCGTCACCAGCACCGCCATTGCCCCGTTAAAAAGCAAAATGATTTTTTTGCGGCAAGTCCTGCAGAGACTGAAGAACGCATCGTGGAAAAAGTCCAAAAATATGAACAGTTATTCACCCGTGAGTGAAGGAGTACAAAATGCGGAGCAAACATGGATTGAAGCACAGGAAACATGGGTTTAGAGGTGGTGACCACATGAAAAAGTGGAGAAGAATGAAGGAACAATGTGTCTATGTTAAAAATCTCTGAAATACGTAAACACATTAGTAAATATACTATCAGGGACCAGATGCGAGAGTGTTATGGTGGATATCTCAGAAAAATGCTACGCCCTCTGTTGTCTTGGCAGGGAATTGCTTTACAGCACGCGCTGCCTGAACAGAAGTTCCAATGTGAAAACCAGCTGCCATGCCAGAGGTCCAGCCAGGAGATAATGATGGAAAGCCCCCAGACTCACCAGCAGCTGCCCACTCAAGGGCAGACCAAGCTTGGATCTCAGCGTATACGTTTCACTATACATGTTTAACAAGCCTTTTACTTTTTTAATTGTGTATTTATTGCTTAAATTAAAAATGTAAGCGAGTTAGTACCTGCTAGCCACCAAAGCTGCAACTACTAAGAAACTAACCAACCATAGGTAACTGCTTTGGATTTTAAAAACATTATAAGCCCTGTAGCTACAACTTGTTGACTTACATTTAAACTGGAAATTTGCCCTCAAAGTAGCTGCTGGCTCCTGATCCGTCATCCTTTTGAAAATACAGTGCTGTATTCTGGGAAATCTTTGACCAAAAGAAGACATCAAGGCACCTCTAATGTATCCTTATAGCTAAACGGCAGACAAACAGAAGATACACGCCTCCGTAGCACATGCAGGTCTAACAACTCTCTCTTATTGAGTGTGGACACACGCATTTGACCCTCTATACACATGCTCTCACGCCACACCTCCAATATATCATACTGATTAATCAACCCCCCCATGTGGTCAGTGAACAGGCTGAAACGGTCTGCGGTCACACTCTCACATATTCAAATGTTCAAAAGTTGCCAGCCCTGCACATTACAATTGGAAGATGCCATAGCAGTTCCTGGTGAAGTATCTCATCAGATACTATTATTAGTACCGGGGTGGGACCAAGGCATCAAGGCAAGTTTCCTTGATATTGTGAAACACCCTAATGTCTTTGGAGCCGAAGCAAAAAGCTAAAACCAGAGTGGACATCGGCACTGCCTACACTAGTCTGAAGGAGCTAAAAGATGCTACAAAATCACGGACTGATGGTGACCTGGCTTTGTTGCTACTGGACTTGTAACAATTATTTATTTCCAACAGTGCGGATCTTTTTACTTTGTGGTTTATTTTAGCAATAGTTGGCTCTTGTTGGTGTTAGCTCGTCAGTAAGGGTTGTTTACACGACAGCTGTTATTCCACTTTCAGCCAGTAGTGCGGAGGAGCAAGAAACTACTCACTGTTGTAAACAGATGTAACTGCAGGCACTTGTGGGCATTTCTCATCTTAAAAACATCCCACTACAGCTCAGAGGGAGAAGTGAGCGAGATGAAGTGGCCCTCAAGTGGTCATCGATCTCACATCCGAAACGAGCCTGTAGGTTGAGAATTCCCCTCGTTCGCTGATGGAAGGCAGCACCTGGGTGTAGCCGTTTCCTTCTAACATTGTGATAATTTCTGATTACATGAACCATCATTCAAGGTAAAAGCATAACAATATATTATTTATATTAATAAATATTATATTTATTCATATGACTTCAAATGTTTGTGTAAAACAGCCAGAAATGAGCAGTAAATGTACTTTTTAATTATTCAGCATGATTTCACAGTGCAAACCTGCATGCTTCCAAAGAACAACAAAAGAAAAAAACAAACTACTGAGTTTTATTAACATTCAGTTCCAATGTTGACCAGATGTGCAGACGGTGTGAGATGCAAAAACACTGCATCAGAGGTACAAGAAGAGCACCATCTACAGGTAGTATCTCAACACTACCCATGTGCTCATTCTGCAGCGCTGTCCTGCAAACGGGCTGGATATTCCCTGAGAAGCACAATTAAAACTGCTCCATTCTTCCAAATGTCACAGTATTTAGTTTGATAATATTTTATAAACTTTAATACTTTCTTCAATTTCATATTACATATGTATATACAAGAACTTATTCCTTTAGTTACACGCAGAAATATCATTGGGGCACTTGTTTATGCATGGAGGGCACCTATAGCTGCTGTTTTTATTTTATTTTAGTGAATTTGTGAGCTCCACCGCCATGTTTCTCTGTTTTTCTTCTTCTTCTGCATGCATCAATTTAAATGGAACTCAGTGGGGTAGCCAATCAGATTTCAAGGTGGCATGTGCTACTCCAGACCACTCCTTTGATTAGCAGAATTTAATGAGGCACTTCCTGGATTTCTAGAAAAATGAGAAGGGAGGCAGTTATGGTGCTAAATATCCTCGTCTGTCTTGGCTGTCCTCAGACTAGCCGTTAGCTCATCAGTCCTGTAGTGCTGTAAACTATATTGTTCTGAACCAATAGTATTAAAAAATACTGGACATGGGAACATAATGCAGTGGAAGCCACAGAACGCTCAAGTGCAAGATTATAATTTTGAACAGAAACATACATGTGCAAAAAGCCACTTGAGCTCTTTGTTTACAAAGCATCAGGTTCTAAAAATCCATTTCACTTAAATCAATGAAATGCTCCGACTCCAACAAAAACCCCAACTTCGATCAAATTCACTTTCTGCTACTTTTACCTGAAATCCTTTTTTGACACGTTTCTCAAATATGCTAAATGTTGGAAGTGTCTTCCAGTGTTGTGACTTCTTAAGTCATTTGTCATCCTGAAACGTCTCTGATCTCCAGCGTTTCACTACAGCTCACACATCACTGGTTAGTTTCACCACTACGTGGTTATTTATGAGTAAATCCCACCAGCAGCAGCACAATGTTGTGCTTAATGATTGCAATGCAAAAAGGTTTACGAAATGATGTCTGAATGAAATGTTGGAAATTGAAGCTATTTACTGATGTGTTTTCCACTTAGTTGCTGTCAGACTTATTATTTACATCCTTTAGAAAGATAACGACTTACCTCCTGAGAGCTGTCATGTGTACAGAGGCTGTATGGGCAATTATTTTATTCTGTTTGTTGGGGACCTGTTATTTGTGCCTGCCATCAAATGCAATTACTTATGCTGGCATTTACCGTCAGCAGAAGCTAATTAAAGTCTGAGATTTCCATAAAAGGATTCCATCCATCCATGTTCTTACACCTGTATGAGGTTTGGTCCAGGATAGCCTGGCCAGCCAGCCCCGTGCTTCCTTATGGGAAGCACTGGTCTAGGAGGGAAGCCCAAACCTTTTTCTGAGAGCTTATGTGTTGTTTTGAATCACAAATGTACAGAATAAAAGCTTGTTAGCAAGAGATAAAGAGAAAATGTCACTTTGAACTGAAGCATTTTTCAAAATCTTCATCTCACTGAAACTGTGTGAAGAAACCTGGAACATTTTTATCATTTCTGTTGCACACCTGTACATTCAGACAAATGGTGACTGATTAGACGACTCAAATGCTGGTTTACTGCATTCATCGTTCAGGTACCTTTGTAACGTTGTAGAACAGAAACTGGTCCAGGAAGGGAGATGGCCGAGCTGCTGGTTTGTGACAATTTAAGCTCTGCATATTTACATAAAAAAGACCAAACAGGAAATAGTAACAAGAGACAACATTGCAAAAAATAAAATAATAATAATAACTCTCAACATAAATATAAAGCAAATCCCTGGTTTTATGTGCCCTTATTTATCTGCAAGTGGTGCTGAAGACATCATTAGCATAGTAATCAAGGCACTCTCTTGTTCTTTGTACATGTCATTGATTTTAAACAGGAGAAGCTCACTTAAGGGTATTTTCACAGTAGGAAACAAAACAGAGTCAATCTCAGGAGTTAACAATTAAAACAACATACCCTAATAACGGAATAAATCTGTATAATTTAACAGCAAATTCATCAGTGGAGCTCAATGAGCTATAAATACATACAACTGATTTACCTTGTCTATAAACACAGCAGCTTGTAAAACAAACAAACTAACTAACAAAGAGAGTTTCTATGCAACAACACATAGCAACCTGTCTCCCAAGGTCCACTGGTGTTGTGGTCTGTTCCAACAGGCCACAGATCCATAATAATGACAATCGGCATCAAGAGGAGGACATAATACAAATAGGCAAAGCGGCCTTGAATCCCCATTTCTCCTCACAGCTGCCTCTGTACCGTTTGTTTCGGTGCGGGTTCCATTTTCTGTGCAAAAGTGTCAACAGATAGAGAAATAATAATGTAATAATAACTGTGTGAAACTCAACTTCCAGTCAGTCAGAGAGAATCATTCTGTTAGTTCAGGCGAGTGTTCCTTCAAAACGTTGCTGATATTTACGTAAATAAAAACATGCATTCGTTCTAAAAGGGCTTCAGTGTTTATATATGAATAAATTCAGCTGAGAGCATCAGGGGCTGCTGTTCAGAAAGAAAAACAAGTATTAATGTAAAAGGTATCATTTAAGAGCATCTTTTCCTCTTTGGTGTGAACTGATCTACCACATATTGATGCTGATATTCTTCCAGGCACAAGCTGTAGATGTGATGAGATGGAAAAGGCTTCAGATCAGAAATCAACAAAAATAATAATAATATTCCCTACAACAGAATCTTTTAGTTTTTGTTCCGTTCTGATGTGTGGCTTCAATAATCCAGTAAATAAAATCTGAAGAAAACAACGCTGCCAACAGGCTGTGATGTGATTTCTAACGAAAACGTTCAAGGGGTTTTCTGCAACAGCTGCAGCTTGATGGTCAGCTTCAGCCTCTAATGGGCCATTCCCATCTGTACCGGGTCGGCCCGGGCCGGGCAGCGTAGGTTGTTTACATATCTGGGTGGCCTGGTATTTTTCCGGGCCAACCAAGGCTCATTCTCTGCCCTCTTCTCGAGGGGGTCTGCTTCAGGCCGACCAGGGCCAACACACCCACTGCTGACAGCAAATTCACACCTTCCATTAGAGCAAGCCTCTGATTGGTGGGTAGAATCAGCCCACATGGGCTTAAGACAAGGATGTGTGGAATCAACCGGGCCAACTGGGGCTACCCGGCCCGGGCCGACCCGGTACAGATGGGAATGGCCCAATGGCTACTTAAGGAAGTCCAAAAGTTAGCATTTGATCTAAAGCAAATCGGAGGAAAGCTGGCTCCAAAAGGATATAGCCACTTTCCAAAACACAAATTTGCTTCCAAAAATTAATTTTTCACAATTATAATCAGACATCTAAATAAAACTTGCTTTATCTCAGCAATGATGCAAAATACTCATCCAGTTAAATGCAAAGTCCTTCTTCTTAACATTCTACATGCCAAATAGTATCAGTTACCATTTAGCATGGGCTCACGTTGTCATTTCAAATGCAGCTAGTGTCTGCTGAGGCAGTTTACCTTAATGGCATCTTCATTAAAAACGTGTGTTGTTGGTAAACGACTAAAAACAGCTGTCAGCAATGCTGCTTTAGTGAAGCAGAAACCAGAATAACCAGAAACCTCTGACAGTAGTACTACCCAACAAGCTTCCTTGCATGCTTGATTTTCAAATTAAGTATGTAAAAGGAAATTGTATCTAGCCATATAATTGTGTAGCGTAGGAAGCTGCACCAGAATCTAGCTGTTGGGGAAAATCTAAATTATGATTATTTAACATTTAGAGATCACACTTTAAAGAGACTGCAGACGCCAATTTACACCAGCAGGTGTCAGCGTTGCACACATCCGTGGTGATGAAAATTACGTTTACAACACTAGAATAAATATAATTATAATAAAACGTTTAGGCATATTTAGGATGACACACATGTCAGATAAGTCGTTTGTAACATTTAGACTCCGTTTAATTTGAACTTAACTTTCAACTCAGAAAACATAATTTGCTGCGAGTGTGGTTGAAAATTAACGGAAGTGCATCTTTCAATGTAGGCATCATTTGAAAGGCCTTTCAAATTAAAAGCATGCTTGCAAATCAGGATGTGTCAAATGATGTCAACAATGATCTTTTTTGCTCTAATTACATTGATGTTGTGATTGTTTGGCGCTGAAAACAAAATGCAAACTTGATTAACTGCACAGACGGAGTGTTTCCTTTGTTTGGAGCTTAGCTTTCCTCGTACACCAAAAGCTTCCAACTGAAACGAAAAACACTTCATATCAGTCTTTAAAAAGGCGGGGCTGTTCTAAATGACAACTGCCTCACACTTTAGTCTTGCTGATTATTTGTGGCTCCGTCCTTTAAAAAGCCTTCGCTGAAACATGGTTTGTAGCGGAATAAACAAGCAGCTTGACTAAATAAACAAACAAAAGCACTTCGATGAGCACAAACATATCCAGCTATGAATTACCAATCAGCTCTTTAAAAGGAGTCTCTTCATCTTCAACAAGAGAAATGTTTTATAAACATGACATTTTGCATTTTAAATAGATGAATAGAATAAAAAATTGTTTTTCTTTAACACAAACTGTACATATCAGAACCTACAAAAAGTACAAGTGCTGCTACTTTAGAGAGGAAATCCTCTGATACATCTTTATCAAAAATATGCAGCTTTAGAAGCACTTTTGTTCTTCATCTGTCTAAAAAGCTTTACAGAGCTACATTACACTCAGCAAAAACCACATACATAAACCACGACAGGGCAGCGCTTCCCCTTCCTCCAGCCCAGAACCGATCTCCATTTCTTCATCTTAAATCATTTCCTCTTCACCTCCACTCGTTCCGACTTCAATCGACTTTTTCTACTTTCCCGATGATCTTTTCCTCAAAGATCGGCAAGACAGCGTCATCCTCGCGTACCTCTTCAAACACCACCCCGCAGTCAAACTCATCGCTGACCTTCTTGAAATAATACCTGAGAAGATAAACCATAAAAATCTACTTGTTAAAGCAGTTTCCTAAAAGCTAAATGTGAGGATGTTAATATGAATTAAAATCCTTTTAGTCTCAAACTAAACTCTACGTCTAAAAGGACTGAAACTCATGGAGCAGCATTAATCCCACCTGTAGTTTCCTTTCTTTGTGAGCAGTTCTTTAAACTGTCCCAGCGTGACCGCCCTCCCTCTGACTGAGGTCCTGTAAGGTATCAGCTCCTCACAGAAGTAATACGCCACCGTGATGTTCTCACAAGGTTGCTTCTTAGTGGCTTTATGTCTGTCAGCGGGAAACATAACAGCAACTTAGAAATTGCCTTTTGTTTCAGCATTTAATAGTTAGAAGAGTTACTGCTTTAACCTAAAGAAAAAAGCTGTAGAACAAGTGTAAACAAGCCGAAAGAAGAAGAAGAAAATATCATTTCTATAGCGCCTCTCAAGATAAAAATCACGAGGCGCTTCACAAAAACAAAAATTGTAAAAATATAAATAAGCATTTAGAAAATGCTTAAAAATATATTAAAATGAGCAAAAATTGGCAATTGGGATTAAAAAAAATGTTAAGAGAGAGAGTGAACAGGAAAGAGGGAAATCAGTGGATCCTGAGGAAGGTGGAATAGGTGGGGAGAGCAGAATAAAGAGAGCGTGAAGGTCATACAAAAGCCAGCTTGAACAATTGACCAACAAAACTTTAAAAAAGTCTACATGAGAGCTTCAAACCAAAACCTCATAAATATAGTAAATTATAAAAATCTGAATGTGAGAATAACTGAGGGAATTTCAATTCAGTTCAATTCAAGTTTATTTATATAGCGCCAAATCACGACAAGAGTCGTCTCAAGGCACTTCACACAATAAACATTCCAATTCACAGTTCATTAAGCCAATCAGAAATAATGTTTCCTATATAAGGAACCCAGAAAATTGCATCAAGTCACTGACGAGTGTCAGTGACTATACAGCAATCCTCATACTAAGCAAGCATGCAGCGACAGTGGAGAGGAAAACTCCCTTTTAACAGGAAGAAACCTCCAGAGAATCCTGGCTCAGTATAAGCAGCCATCCACCACGACTCACTGGGGATCGAGAAGACGGAGCAGACACACACACACACACACACACACACACACACACACACACACACACACACACACACACACACACACACACACACACACACACACACACACACACACACACACACACACACAAGTAATGTGTTTATAGTTATATTGTGATGTCTTTGTAAATATTGTATTTGGTGAAAGATAAACTTTATTGTATTTATCCTAGTGGATAATTAAACGGATAAACTAGCATTAGCACATCAAAAGTCAATGAAAACAAAAAGTTATCAGGAGAGAGAGAAAGTGAAAATGATTCTTGAAGAAATTGTGATAATTATCAGTAAAGATGTTTGTGATCATTCAGATCAGTTACTAAAGTGGTCATAAATACATTATTCCATTCCAGTATCCATTTAAACCTTTGTCATGTATTCTAAGGTAGGGTTTGATGATATGTTTGTGGAGCATTTTTGCTATTTTGCTTAAAATGCTCTTCACATTCTGACAGCTACCAACAAATTAGATATTTTGTCAAAAATGAGTCATTTTAATGGTGTCTGAAATGTAAAATCCTGGAAAAAGCTCATCTAAGCATTGCGCACGTCCCATTGTTAATAATCCAATCATAAACTGCCCATCTGCAGACACACTTCTGTGCACCAAATGAGCATTCTAGGATTGTAGCAGCTGAATAGGAAGCAAAGCCAGACCTAGTGTCATAGACTGATCGCCCCATTTTGTTTGTGTTTACAAATCTTGTTTGAGGAGGTTTTTTTTTATGTTTTGTTTAAAATCTGGTTCTATTTTAGTTGGGAAATATTTTGGTGACGGACCTGTTGACTGTGAACGCAGCTGTCCTCTGTCAGCTGGCAGAGTGATGCATGCCCGTGTGAGTGGCTGGAATGGGGTGGGGGTGTGGACGAGTGAGGGCTGAGCGAGTCTGAGAAGGTTCAGGGCGGGTTCTGACAGTTTGACCAGTTATTAGTGGAGTTTCCAAATATTGTTTTTGGCACTAAGCTGCTGATTTTCAAGTTAAGGAAAAAACAAGAAAGCTATCAACTTGCTTTATTTTTCACCGAAAACATTTACACTATATTGGCTACCTTACTAAATTATTACAAAGTAACATAGGTGCATTGTATTAGGAGTTGTGACAAGCAAAAGTGCAGACAACGATAGAAAAAAGTTAAATAACTATGTTATTATGTATGCTTGACAGTAAGTAAGTAAGTAAGTCAAAGTTTATTTATATAGCGCCTTTCACAGATATAAATCACAAAGCGCTGTACAACATGATAAAGATCAGGGCAAATACCTCTAACCAATAAAAACATCCAAAAAACAATAGCAGTGATAAAGTAGAAAATAAAATCATGAGTATAAACAAAGTGAAGGTATGAACCCAAACAAAGCCATCGTTCTGAAACATTTAGGGAGGGAACGCCTGGATGAAAAGGTGAGTTTTTAGATGATTTTTAAAGACCTGTACAGTGTTAGAGAGACGGAGATTTGAAGGTAGACTGTTCCAAAGTCTGGGTGCAATAGTCTGAAAGGCCCTGTCCCCTTTGGTTTTCAGTCTGGTTCGAGGAACAGCCAGGAGGTTTTCAGATGTGGATCTAAGGTTCCGAGAGGTGGTGTGTGGGGATAAAAGCTCAGATAGGTAGCTTGGAGCCTGGTTGTTAAGAGCTCTATAGGTCAGGACTAAAACTTTAAACTGAATTCTATATTCTCTACAGTAACCATTGTGCTACCATTTTCTGCCACCAGCAGATCCTGTGACTGTAGGGAGGAGCCTTAAGAAAAACGTCAGACCTTGCAATAGTTTTGTTGTTGTGTTTTTTCCCAGTGTGTAGCTTAAAGAGCAAGTCACCCCTACCAGAGTATTAGTCTGCTCCCACTTCCTGTTTGAAAAATGCAACAAATGCTGTTGCCTAGCAGACCGAGAGGGCGGAGCCGCTAACAAATACACACACACAGGCTCACAACAACATTGTGACATCATATGGTACCAGCTAACATTCTAGAGTACCTCTTAGCCAATAGCGATGGCAGATTTATATTCAACAGCAGTGCAGGGTTTTTACCTGACAACGGCACAACACTGACAGTTTTAGGCAGAAAGTTTAAATTTTAACTAAAATGCAGTAAAGTGCAAAACTATTGACTACACGTGTCTGCAGCACGATTAGACGCACATTTATGTAGTTTATCAGAAAAAAAAGTTGATTTGGGGGTGACTTGCTCTTTAAATAGCTTTTTACAAGAACATCATTAAAATAGAAAAAGCAACAAGCTACTTTTAAAAATAAAATGCGGCTTGTGGGTTGATAAAATGTTATATATTCAGCTGCATGATGTCACCTGTCAAAATGTTGGCATGGGAGTATATCACACAACATTGCACCCATCTGGTCATCCACAGATGGTGACACTCATGTGACATGATGAATCCTCCCCCGAGTCAGAGCTCATCAGGCTGACCTCAGGCTGGGGCATTTTACACTCAAATCTGTTCTTATATAAGGGCAGCAAACAGCCTCAAAACTGCCGCATTGGTGAAGTGCCAAGTAAGAATCTATCTGCTGTTATTGACAATTTGATCAAACGTAGAAAATGTTTGTGTTGAAAAAGATCATTGGGGTTTTAAAAGCCCGAGGAGCAGAGCTGTTTTAGTCCTTCCTTAGAAAACGTTACTCAGTAAAAACATTCATCTCGCGGATTTCTCTCCTAAACTCTCATTTCCTCATCAAGGGACCTGCGGTTCTATGAGGTTCGACCTGCTGCAGCGAGCCCTCATCTCTGATGGGAGGACTGAAAAAACGAGTCAGCCGCACGAGTTTGCCTTTCATCTTTCCTTTACACTCGTCTCTCCTCCAACCACACATCAAACCTACACCTTACTCACAAAACATCAAAAACTGATCCGCTCTGTAATTCTCCAGCTACTTCGTCTGTGATGGAACACAGAAAACACACTTTTACTTCCTCTGCACGGCTTCTTCTTTGTGGAAAATAAAGTAAAAAGCTCTCGCGCTTTCGACCTTGAAGTCTGATCTGGTTTTTACGGTCGGGTGGGGAAACTTATTTTTTACCATGATGACTGAAACATCCTTTTCTTCAAAATCAATAAGATAAATAATTCAGGCTGCACGTTGTCATGGTAACGCTGAAGCATAAGGCCATAGGATATGAGTGATAACGCCCTTCTGTGCATCTCTAGCGATGAACAATGCAGAAGGACACCGGTTCACTGATACTTGAACATCTATTATTATTCATTAAAGTTTCCTGACACAAAATAAACAGCACAAGGTGAATAGAAACCCTTGTTTTGATGATAAAGGAGGATTTCTGACATACTCGGGTTCAGAAAGCTCGCAGTCTGAAACAGCAGGCACCACGTTGAGTGGAGGGGCAGGTGCAGGTCGGACGGCCGTGCGACCCCTCTGAATCACCTCCATCACATACCTGAGGGACAAAAGAACCCTAATTTAGACCAGAAGAAGCCCAGAGTTAACAGAACAAAAACCGTAGCGGCGTAAAGGAGCCCATCAGAGCAGAGCCTGCTGAAAGATTGCACGGATTGATTACCCAGATAAAAGTAGGGATAAGACATGTTTTTCTTGTTACCTCTGCTTGGGCTGTAAAGGTCCAGACTTTATCTTTTCCTCCTCAAGCCGCCGACAAACCTCCTCCAGCTGGATTAAGGGGCTGGGAGCTGGGTTGGGGGGCATGGTGGGGTCCTGGATGAAGGGGTGAAACGGCTGTACGTTGTTGCGCTGCTGACCGCTGGATCCTGGGTGTGAAGGAGCTGGCCGGTCTGCAGAGCTGAGGTGAGATCCTTCATAGCTCTGGTTCCTCTTGGAGCCGTTGACACTCCTAAGGAAATCATAGAGAGACGTGATGCAGCAAGGGAACGAAGAAAAGCAATGAACAGAACGGTGATCACTGACCCGAATGGACTTCTCTTGTGCTGGACCATTTCTTTTTGCCCTTCCTTTAGCCACAGGAGGATCTTCTGATTTTTCTCCATTTCCTCTGCAGGTCCGGGACCATCGTAAGGTCGAACTTCGTCACCTTTCTTGACTGCTCTCTTACACTGAGAGCCACTTTTGCTGTTGCAAAACAAAACAAAAGACCGGTGAGCATAAAACCAAGAAGAACAATGTTTGCTTGAATGACGGGAAGTGTTTGATCCACACCTATACCCCGTGTGCTCTGGAGGGTTGGATCCAATACCATCTCCATAGTTACGGGACTTTGAGCCATAATAACTAGTCTCCACACTCCAGGGAAAGCCACTGCGTGAGGCCATCTCAGCCTCCATCTGCTCCCTGGACTTTCCCCCACCTGTCTGATGCGTGTGATGGACGTATTTATGGTGATGCATATGGATGGACTGCCTGGTTGCATGTCTACCCTGGCCTGGTTGTCCCATCCCTTTGACTCCTGGTAAGCAGTCTGGGGAGCGGTCAGTCCCTGGAGACTCGCAGCCGGGTGTCTTCATGACCCGCTGGACGTGGTCATCCAAGATGCTCTCGGGGTTCTCCTCATGAGCGTCTCTAACAAACGGCCCGCTGTAGGTGGTGTCAGCGTAACGGGGGTTGTAATTCAGTGAGTAAGCACCAGGGGGGAACCTGTGACTGGGTAACGATGAAGCTGAGGACATTGTGACTTCATCACCTTCCTCCTCCTTAAATATACACAAAAAAAAAACACAACAGAGAAATAGAAAACATAAACACGTTGTATCAATTAACCAGCCATTTTCAACAAACCTTTTCTTTTTTTAATATTACATAAACCATGCTTCTTCACACCTAAAAATGACACATTTGCTAGTTTTTTACTATTTAAATTAACTGCAGAAGGCTGTGAACGAGCCCTCAGTGTGCAGACAGCACATTTCTGCCACCTCATGTCACGAGCAGCTTCAGCTCCGACCGACGAAACAGTGCTGTGACAGAACTGCTTCGGGGGGATTTAC